TACAGCTGATTCAAATTGTTGTACAGCAGAAACTAACACAACATTGTAAAGCAATTATACTCCAATAAAGATAAAAAAAAAAAAAAAAAAGAAGTGCTATTGCTTCTCTCTCAGCCCAGATCCCTGTGGAAGCCCCTCTGTGAAGGCAGCCCGTCCCCTCGAGGTCCCCTCAGCGCATCCAGGCTTCTCCAAGGACCGTGAAGACAGCGCAGGAGGCAGCCTTGGCTCCTAACATCCGGCCTCTAAACGAGGCCGTGTGCCCTTCTGAGTCACCTGGGGTTGGCCTGACCCTAAACTTCCTCATATCCCCACTCCACACCCACAAGTGCCTCCTTTTCTTTCTCTACCCAAAGGACATCAGCAATGTCTTTCCCTTTCTGTAGAGGAAGTCCTTCAGATTTTTGTCTTTCCCCCCCTCACTCCCCCAGGGAGTTGCTGATCTGAGGCAGTTTACTTTCCTCCGCCATCTGGTCCAAACCGGCCCTTTCTGGTAAAAATGTCAGCCGTTTGCTCTTTCCCCTGGGCTGCTGAGATAGTCTGATATGGAGCTGTCTTCTCTGTTGCATACAGGACATTCCCAAAGCGAACACACGGCCGAGAGGGTGGGCCCCCAGCCTGACCTTTGGCCCCTGAGCCGCTGCGAGGCCTGAGGAGACCACTGCCTGTCCCTCTTTCCTGGTAACCCCGTAGCTTTAGTATTTAACAGCCATGTTCCCTGAGCCAACGAACGTTCTTTCACTCCAGTTTCCGCTTAACACTGCAAAGGCTTGATTCTCATTCACAGAGTCTGAAGGAGCTTACTGACCCTTACAGCAAAGAGAGCTAAATATATATACCAGTGATAAGCACCTGGGCTCAAATATCTAAAGTTATTTTGATAACAAAGAAGAAACCGACTCACAGGTCAGAAAACAAACTAGTGGCTACCATTGTGGGGGGGAATATAGGGTGAGGGGGGGAGGTACAAGCTATTGGGGGTAAAATAGGATCAAGGATGTCGTGTACAACACGGGGAACACAGCCAATACTCTGTAATAATTAAATGGAAAGTAACCTTTAAAAACTATTAAAATTTTTTAAATTAAAAACTAAAAAGCCACATGACCCCCCCCCCAATTTTTTTTGATAAGCATATCTGAAATCCCTCTGTTGAGAATCTCAGTGTCTAACACCAAAGCCTTACCTGACTGTGGAAGAGCATCAGTAAAGGCAAAAAAGTGCTGCTCTAAATCTTCCAAGTCAGAGAACGGGCGCTGGGACCGAACGGCGGCTGCAATCAGAGGATGTCTCTCGATGACACTCCCAAACACATCCACAAATTCTCCAAAGTCCATGGAGTTGACCTTCTCAATGTCCATCGCCTGTGTTCCACTGGCGGCAGCAGGACCTGGGCTCCCCTCCGGGTGAGTGAGAGACGCGTCTCTGCTCGCCAGGTTATATTTGCTGAATGCATAGGCTTGTTCTTTATGCAACACCAGCTTGGCATGTTTTAAATGCCTCTGGGAGAAGCCGATCCAGAGTACTTGTGCAATCAACAAACACAGGCTTAAGGTCTAATCCAGGGAGCAGAGGTCTTGCAAGGGGGTAAGGCTATCCAACCAAACTCTTCCCACCATCTAAGCCGGCAGGGGCCATATTCACTCTCAGCTCTCAAGCTCCATAGACTTTTGGTGCCATTAGCATTTTAATGTCAATGTTGTCCCAGGGAAGTTTTCCCTGGTAACCCAGGCAGGTCACAAGTCCACCTGCTTGAAATTCCGTGTCCCGTCTTGTTGCTACTGCTGTGGAGAACAGCTAGTATGTTTTATTACTCTTTCTCTGCATTTCAAATGCTTCACACAATAAGTATCTAATAAACTCTCACTCAACAAGAAGCAGTGTCTAAGGAATCATTCCGCCCCATTCTCAGTTGTCGCCCAGACACCGTTATTTGTTATTTTCTTCCTGAATATATCTATCCTTATCTGAAATCACCTTGCTTATTCTATTTATTTTCGTATCACCTCTCAGCCACAGTGAATTCTATGAGCCTGGAGACAGTGTGTCTGGCTTGCTTGTGTCCTGGGTGCCAAGAACCGAGCCCTCAGGAGGCATGTAATAAACACCATGGGCTGAATTAGTTGACCAGATGACCACATAGATTAAATTTCTCACCCTGATACCTTTTATGTATACTCAAAACAAAAATCCTGTGGAAGGGCTTCCCTGGTGGTGCAGTGGTTGAGAGTCCGCCTGCCGATGCAGGGGACACGGGTTCATGCCCCGGTCTGGGAAGATCCCACATGCCGCGGAGCGGCTGGGCCCGTGAGCCATGGCCGCTGAGCCTGCGCGTCCGGAGCCTGTGCTCCGCAACGGGAGAGGTGACAACGGTGAGAGGCCCGCGTACCGCAAAAAAAAAAAAAAAAAAAAAAAAAAAATCCTGTGGAAGAAGACAGAGAACATACATATTTGTGGTTGCCAAGGGGAAGGGGGTGGAGGAAGGAAAAACGGGGTGTTTGGGGTCAGAAGATGTAAACTATTATATATAGAATGAGATAAACAACAAGGTCCTACGGTATAGCACAGGGAACTATATTCAATATCCTGTGACAAACCATCATGGAAAAGAATATGAAAAAGAATATACATATAACTGAATAACTTTGCTGTACACCTGAAACTAACACAACATTGTAAATTAACTACACTTCAATTAAAAAATAAAATTAAAAAAATACTGTGGGGCTTCCCTGGTGGTGCAGTGGTTGAGAGTCCGCCTGACAATGCAGGGGACACGGGTTCGTGCCCCAGTCAGGGAGGATCCCACATGCCGCAGAGCGGCTGGGCCCGTGAGCCATGGCCGCTGAGGCTGCGCATCCGGAGCCTGTGCTCCGCAACGGGAGAGGCCACAACAGTGAGGGCCCTGCGTACCACAAAAAAAAAAAAAAAAAAATACTGTGGAAGATAAAGTCAAAGGAAAGGAGGGGTCAGAATTTTAAAATATAAAGCTATTTCTGCTATCTCCCTGTAGAACTGAAAATGCAAACATATTTCCAAAAGTCACGCTAACTCCACATTGGCTTTCATCTGAATCAAAATTCAATGAGAGGACTTACAATAGTCAGGACATGGAAGCAACCTAAGTGTCCATCGACAGGTGAATGGATAAAGAAGGCGTGGCACATATATACAATGGAATATTACTCAGCCATAAAAAGAAACGAAATTGAGTTATTTGTAGTGAGGTGGATGGACCTAGAGTGTGTCTTACAGAGTGAAGTTAAGTCAGAAAGAGAAAAAGCAAATCGTATGCTAACACATATATATGGAATCTTAAAAAAAAAAAGGTTCTGAAGAACCTAGGGGCAGGACAGGAATAAAGACGCAGATGTAGAGAATGGACTTGAGGACACGGGGAGGGGGAAGGGTAAGCTGGGACGAAGTGAGAGAGTGGCATGGACATATATACACTACCAAACGTAAAATAGATAGCTAGTGGGAAGCAGCCGCATAGCACAGGGAGATCACTGGGTGCTTTGTGACCACCTAGAGGGGTGGGATAGGGAGGGCGGGAGGGAGGGAGATGCAAGAGGGAGGGGACATGGGGATGTATGTATATGTATAGCTGATTCACTTTGTTGTAAAGCAGAAACTAACACCATTGTGAAGCAATTATACTCCAATAAAAAAAAAAGAAAAAAAATTCAATGAAAGGGCAACCACGTTAGCATTAATAGATCAGTCACATTGGCCCACACAGTCTGTGAGAGGCAGGTGACAATCTATCAGCAGCCACAGATTTTGTCCTAACTCTGTGACGTTTCCCATCCCAGGTCTCACCCTGACTGCTTGGGCCAAAGGGTCACGATTGAAGGACTGACAGAAAAGAAGCTGATGAAATTTGTTTTTCAAAGGGGGCCAGAAGTACCACCACTACAGGCCATGTCTTCAAATATGAAAAAAGGTATAGATATCAGATTAACACTTGCACATCGTATACCTCACATAGGTATGTGAAAACACACTGGATCCTGTAGTGTGTTTTCAGTTTCGGGCAAAGAGCCCAGTGTGGAGGACGTGGACCCCGGAGAGCGCTGGTCCAGGCTCTGCCACCCTACCCACTGGCATTTGTCAGGTTATCGAACTCTTCTGCACCTCAATTTCTTTGTCTGTAACACGGGGCTCAGAAGAGTATTGACCTCATGGGATTTTTGCAAAGATGCAGTGAATTAATGTACCAAAGTGCTCCTGTTACAAAACACTGCAGAGGTGTCAGCCAATATAACATTGTGCAAAATCTCTGCAATGGACCAGCCACAGAGTGTTCTCCTGTTCTCCCTTCTGCCACCAGAGTCAACACAGCCCTTTCCCGTCCCTGCAGGTTTTCCGCAGACCCAGTTAACGGCCAATGTCCACTTCTTCCCCTTCTCCCTCCACCAGCTCCCCCAGCCTCGGTTCATTCCAGCGCTGACCATGCAGCATCGCAATTCGGAACAGAAGAGTGGGGAAGAGAAGGCGAGGTCTGTCTAGCCCCTCCCCCTCAGCCTTATTCCCTCCCTGGTCCCAGGCTCTCGGATGAGCAGTTGAGTGGGAACAGATGGCAGAGCAGAAACCGAGGGAGAAGGGGTCCCGGCTCCACTGCTCTGTGTCCCCTCCCTCTTTGTGCGACCCTCACCTACCTTCTCCTCTTATTCTGCATGGGGACGGTCTCCCTCACCCAAGGCGCTCCAGCCTGGGCCTGGAGCCTGGCGGTTCTCAGTTCCTCTGAGAGCTGCAGGAGAGATAGACACCTGCATTTGCAAGTGGAAACTCCTCTGCTCATGGAAATGCTGATACCACGGTGGGAAGGGCCTTGCCACTGACAGGAGACCAGGAGCCTAACCTTTTATTCTGTGTTATCTATTGCATAACAGTATAAACTTCAAATAGCCCACTACTAACAGAGGAAACTTTAAGACACAGAAGGTTAAGGTATTAAATAGTCCTGGATATAGAAGCAACATCCAGCAAAAAATACCTAACTAAAAATTCCTGATACGGAACCTGGCAAGCCAGGCCACTGAAGCACTCTGGGGCTCAATTAATCCTGTTTGACTCTTCCCCAGTCAAATCAAAGAAATGTAAGGTGGTCAGAGGTCAGGCAATTTTCATCCAGGCAAACCAAGCAAAAAGTTAAGTTACTGAATCGTACGCTATCAACAGGCGAATTGTATGGCATATGAATCATGTATCGATAAAGCTATTGTTTTCTTACGTTAATTGATATAGAGCTGTAGCCTCGTAATTTGTGTTTAACCATACAAGCTATGATTCTTATGTTCTGGCTGCTGAATATATTATATCAGACTTCATTATAATTTTTCTTTTAAGATACCTTTAGCAGTACATAGAGAAAATTCTTAAATAGGCACAGTCAAATTTTTATTTAGCTTTTTAGTTGAAACATTTCAAGTATCTGCTCCCTTCAACTATAGCCCTTAACTTTTCACAAGCAGAGCTTATGCAGAGGTTTTCTCAATAAGATACCAGGAAGGCAAATTGCTTTCCTACACATGCATTTTTAAAACGAATTAATTAATTAATCTATTTTTGGCTGTGTTGTGTCTTCGCTGCTGTGCGTGGACTTCCTCTAGTTGCGGTGTGCAGGCTTCTCTTGTTGCAGAGCACGGGATCTAAGCGCACGGGCTTCAGTAGCTGTGGCTCATGGGCTCAGTAGCTGTGGCTCGTGGGCTCTAGAGCTCAGGCTCAGTAGTTGTGGAGCACGGGCTTAGTTGCTCCACGGCATGTGGGATCTTCCAGGACCAGGGCTCGAACCTGTGTACCCTGCACTGGCAGGCGGATTCTTAACCACTGCGCCACCAGGGAAGTCCCTACACATGCATTTTTAATTTGAAGCAAATTGGGAGTTGGAACTCTTGTGATCTTGCTGTTACCAGACTCATTTCATTGGCTGAGGACTGAGCCAAAGCAAGATGAAGTCCTGGCAGAAGGAGGCCAGAGGGCCAAAGTGGACGGTAAGATGGTGAGGAGGTGGCCAGCGTGGGTGACGGGTCAGGCCTGCATTTAGCGTCTCCGCGGATCTAAGTAAGTGATTTAATCCTTCTTAGGCTTACGTCTCCGTTTCACCGTTAAACTGCCACAGAGCAAGCTCCCACCTCACAATTTGTTAAATGAGAAAATCCATGTGAAGCCTTCAGCACAGCTCTGGAATATAGTGTGTTATCAACAAATCAATAAAATATAAAGAATTCCTCCAAGCGAACCTTGAGGACATCATGTTACAAAAAGACATATCCTGCACGATGCCACTTATATGAAATACCGAGAGTAGCCAAATTCAGAGAAGCAGAAAGTAGGATGGGCTGCCAGGGGCTGGGGG